TCAAATTCTTTAGAAATACTGGTTTATCATTCTGTTTCTGAACACTGAATTTCTATAATAAAATTGTGGCAGACTCATCATAACATAAATGAAAAGAACAGACAAGGATGTGATGATATTATTGCATAAGCCTGTGAAAACTGTAGTAGGAAAAAAAAAAAAAAGGCAAAAGACTGCTCAAAGCCTGGTACCTGCTCTCAGGAATGGCTAAACATGGATGCTACAAAGAGGAGGGAAAATGTACCTGTAATCAACTTTCTAATCCTGCTTGTGTGTGGACATCAACTTGTGGCTTCTGGAGTTAAAGCTGAGACCCCAAAGTGTTTGGGCTGAATGGTATCTTGGTGGGTGGCAACCTGCATTTGCTTTTTATAAGGAACTGCTGCTGCACGTTTATTTCTGGGAAGGTTGTTGCTATGCAGAAAAAAAATCAAAATATGTGATTTGTGACTACCTCAACCATTTCTTTCCTCCTGTTCCCAGCTGGACAGGTACACTGTATCTCTGTGTTCATCTGTTCCCTTCCCTTCTCCTTTCATCTTATTCTATCGTTCTTCAAATCATTGCCTTTAAGCAATGAGAACAGAGCACATGATACAGTCAGGCACTACTATAAAGTATTAATTTACTACTGCCAGATAATGGCAATATTATGTAATCAATAACTGAAAAACTTAAACCAGCAGGTCCTTAAAAAGCATGGATGGAGTGCAGATTTTTTGGGGGATGAAAAAGACACATTTGGAATGTCTCATATATTTTATTACTTTATCTATTCAACGATATATCATGGTGGCTGTATTCAGAAATAAATAAAATAAAATATTAAAACGCCAGGTCAAGTAAAGCAAAAGAATAGAAAGGGAAAGCAATACCATATAAAATACAGGATTATTTATCAGTTATGTTTAATTTAGAAAGCTTTCCTTCCTACTGCACTTAAATCATATTAAGATATTCAATATTCAGTATTAAGAATAACTCAACGAAGTCAAGTTGTACAGAGCTGAACAGGGGACACTCTGATGTGATCGTTTAAAGACAATTTACCTTGAATCATAGTAATATATATAGGAGCCCAACAACTACAGTATACCATAGCAAAAAAGTTACACCTTATAATGAACTACTTTTCTTAAAACTGTTTACATATTGCTGTTGCATGCAAATCACAATTTCCTGTCTTCAAGCCTTACCTTGCAATTTTAATGTTTTCTAATTCTTCTAAGCACACAAGAAAAAAGAAAAAAAAAAAAAGAAATAAGAAGACATCTGAGATAAAACTCTGTCAAGCTGTTCTTTGTGTTTTACGAAAGTTTGAAGCTGAGAAAAATCTGGAGAAAATGGCTGACAGTAATTTTTAACTACATCCTTCTAGTAAAATCTGTGTTTAATCAGCAAAACCAGGATGATGTGGGGAGTTCGCTTGGCACTTCAGTGAGCCTGGGAGAAGCACATTTAAATTACAAAAGCCTACTAAGGCTTGTATGACCAACACCATCTCCGTAAAGGTAGATAACACAACTGCACTGATGATAATGGAGGATGTCCTTCTTGCCAGAGGCAGTTGAAAAATCAAGACTTAGGTCTCTCTACAGAAAGAGGTTAGTTTCTGCTAAACGTCTTGTCCAAGATGCACATAAAAGCTCACTAGGGACTACATGTATATATCAATCAGCTACCCTTTATTTCTAAGACAGAGGAAATACAGTATCTCTTGAGTGGCTTCTTGCTTTTGTTTTACTACTCTCAAGAGAAACTTTTATTTAACTTTGGAAAATGGAAGCATAAATAAGCTATTAAAGATACAAATAAGCCAGCCACACCACTGCAGATATATAATAGGCAGGCATAAATGGATATATGAACAGTAAAATTAAACATAAATCTAATGGAGAAGGATTTCAAAAGCTTTTTATCTGGGTAAGCATCTAAATGCTTCAGTGCCTCTTCAACTATCATAACTATCTGTTGCCAGAAAAATCCCCAATTCCTAAAAAACCTTCTTCTTCTGTACTCACTGTCACTTTCTTAGGAATGTGAAAATATACCTATTCCTCAGAAAGGGAAAAAGGAGTACTCTTTTCTACACTGGAAATTGCAGAAATATTTCAGAAATAACATGCCGCCATTGTTGGCTAGAAATGTGAGGCAGATGCATTACAACAGTATTTTGTGGATATAAAGAAAACCCATGGAAAGAAAATGACAGCAGATATAGTAGGCCTGGTCATGAATAAAATAGCACTAACTTAAGTTGGCAAAAATGTACACCTACTTGTATTCCACTGAAATCATCACAGAATAAGTGCACTCTTACATCAGACTATTATCCTCCACAGGAATGAATCCCTTTCAGAATTGAATCCTCACTAGAACAATATGGTTTGTTTCTTCTATTGTTACTATAAATAATGATGGTATTTCCTGTTCTTCCTAAACTAGAGTTAATTTAAGATTATCAGGCAAGTGGAAGTGATATGCAAAGTCATCTACTCAACTTTTATCATATACTAAAACCAGCTCAAAAGTTAAAACTGTTTAAAGCTATGCTCACATTTTAGGGAAGATCCAGACAGAAAGACCTGAAAGGACAGAGTTTAGCATACTTATGTAACTTCACAGATTTATTTATTTATTTATTTATTTATTTATTTATTGTAAAAAGGAAAGTTTTCCACTTTTGCTTTGACATTAAAGATTGAGTGGAATCAGTAAAATTGGTGTAACATAAAAGTATGAAAAATCAGACTTTTACTGGTCTCATGTGATATTTATGGGTATTAAGATGTTGATTTTATGTGTCAGGCAAAGAAAAAATTTGACAACAAAGTTGCATTTCTCTTCTGCTTCTTAATTACCACTATATGACCTTGCCCTTATGAGGATTTTTAATGACAAAAAGCAGAAAACTCTGTATACCATATTGTTCCTATATAAACTTTTGTCAAAAAAGCACACTGAGCATATATTGCCAACAGAGCAGTACTGTATTCACCAAGACCATGACTTTTCACCTACTCCATCATATATATAACCATATTTTAACTTAGCTTTTTCCTTTTTTCTCTCCCTCATTGGTCACTGGGACTATAGTATATATAGTCTATAGTATATATAGTCTATAGAGGACTATAGCTACAACATAGCATACATTAAAACAAAGACATAAGGATTTCAAATTTTCTGCAGAACTATCTAGTTTCTCTACACTTGATTTCAAAAATTCAAATTTAAATACATGACTCTTTAAACCTCAGTAGTATGATATCATATATTACACTTTTAAAAAGCACACCTTCAATTTTCATCAGAATGCTGTAGACCACTCCTGAAGTCCAGTTCTATTAGGAATCTGAAAGCTGTCTGCAGATTAAGTTTCTGCAGGCTTGTCTGTTGTTTTTCTCTGTGATTACACATACTATAAAAATAAGAAACTTCCTAAATGAGAGTTCCAGGAACCTGGGAGCCTGGTAGTGAGCTTTCTGATCTAGGCACTCAGTAACCCAGTTTGCTTGTAAGACAGTTTGGTAATGAGCAGAGGCTACAACCCGAAAGCCCTTTGGTAACTGGAGTGCAATTTGTTTTCAGAGATAAGATCAAAGATGTTAGTTTTCTGAAGGAAAATTGATCTTTTTAATGAAAAATTAAAATATCTATCCTGAAGATATTTTTACAGAAATATATTTGATTAGAACTAGTATAAAGAAACATCTGAAGTTACTCTAGGAGTTTAATTTCTCTTAAAACAGGGAACTAGCTTTCCACGGAAGGTGTGTGTCAAGCACTGAATAATTCTATGTTCCTGTCTTAGCCAAGTGCCATTACTGACTACAAGTCTGTCTATAAGTGACAAAACAAATAAAATAAAATAAAATAGTGATGGGCCATTGTATGTAAACCTGAAAAACACATAATCTGGGTGACTTTTCTCCTCCTCCCCATTCCCCCCCCCCCAAAAAAAAAAAAAAATATATATATATATATAATTGAATTAATAATGCAGAATGATTACAAAAGACACATCACTAATAATAGAAAAGCTCTCTGAAATTATAGTACTGAAGTTAAATATCCCAAGAAACTGTGATACATAATTGATGATACCACTCATTAAGTAGTGATAGCCGACAAAATGAGAGCTCTGGAGCTAGAAATCCACCCTGCAAATATGTCAGGTACATACTTGATTCCATACTTTAAAGTAATACGGTTCAGAAACTTAAAATATACTTAGAATTGAACACTGCAAGTCAGATTTATCTATTTTGGAGACAAACCAAAAATAATCAACTCCTTCCTTGCAGTTTTCTCACAAGCACTATTTTTCATAGTCTTTTCAATGCAACTAAATTAAAAATAATGTTAAATATTTGTTGAACTTTTGCATCACCGCTTGCAGCCTTCGAGGCCCGGCAGATGCATTATCACAGTTTCTCTTTCATTTGGGGAAAGCTGCCTACCATTATTAGCGCTTAGAAGAAATTTTATATGTTGTTTACATCAGAAAGTGACAGTCTCCATAGTATAGGGATAAAATCATCCTTTTCAGTGCTCAGTTTGATAAGCCTGCGGGCAACAGCTGCTGTCATTTCAGCTGTTTGTCTTTAAACATGTACTTTTTGGTACCTCAAGATGCCGTTTCTTCTTCAAGCAGAGCCCAAAGCTCACAAAGTCAGCCTCCAATGTAAAGAATATAAATTCCTAACTGAGACTAAACTACATAACCTCCAGCTAGTTTCATCTGGAGGTAGATGCTAGTGTGTCAAACCTAAAATGCAGTCAGTGTCAGGCAGTTTTACATACATGTCACTTGCTATGTTTCAGAGTGCTACAGTGTAATCTTGTAATGTCTGTTTCTAAATAAAAAAAAAAAAAAAGGAAAAAAAAAAAGTTTAAAATACACAAAGCCCCTGATTATCTTTTCTGCCAGAAGCAGAAAATCTGTTTTATCTGTCATATTTGAATACACAGATCAGTTCCTTATTTCATGTCCAAGCAATTGCTTTCATATTCCTGAAGGCTGTAAAAAAGGATAGGATTTTAACCACCCAGCTCTCATCACTGCTAATAATCAGCTCATTTGAACTGAATCCCCCTTGAGGAACATATAGAATTAATTAGAGCTGATCGAACAGCACAAACTGTAATTTGTTGACACTTTAGCAAATACATCTTATCAGTTAACTCTATGATAGTGGTAGAGCATGTTATTTGTTTGTAAATACTTGGACAGCTACCATTTTACTTATAAAAAATGTTGATGACTGCCGAAGGGCTTGTGAATTTCCACATAACTTGATTAATTTCCATATCAATGATGCATTATATGTTATTCCTCATTAATTATTCCTCAACAGTTATTTTCTTGTAAGAATTTTGACTGCCTAATAACTGAGCAAACACAATGCCATGTGATTGAAGGGACAAATCACATAGCAGGAGTATCAAAGAGCAAACAATTAAAGACATAAAGCCCATCAAAATGTCACAAAGAAACTTCTGGACTTTACTATATTTTCATATTGCACTGTCAAGGCGAATTAATGTTGCAGACAACACGCTGTCAGGAACAATTGGGGCTGTTCAGCAGACTCCAAGTTATCGTTCATTCCTGTTACATATAATAACATTTATCAACGTATCATGTCATGTGCTGTGTATATATACAGAGAAATGCACATAAAGAGGCTTTGGCTTTAGGGACATAAGCTTTTTGTAACTGTTCACAATGCTATGCTGGAGTGCACAGTCTGATGTACAACACATGAATAAATGGCTAATAACAGTAATGACAAGTAAGTAGCTAGTGAGGGTATGTAGAGATGATGGTGTTAATTGTAATCTTTTCTGTAAAATTCAGAACGTATTCATAAGCAATGTTTGGGAGCCTTTAGACTAGCACAGATATTCACAAATATTAAACATTAATATTTGAGATCTGTTTTTCAAGTTGTTCTGTCTTTTCCACAAGACAATAAGGCTAACAGAAACCTGCTGATGAATTTTCTGTTATTGCACTCAAGACATATGGCTACTCAAGGGGTCGGTAACTGCCTACAGACAGCTGAGAAGCCCTGCTGGTAGCACCAGTGGAAAGATCTTGCAGCATTATGCATTTAAATAGACTTCTGCTTTCCTCAGAGGCAGCCCTGGCGGAGGTGGTGCCAGGGAACGCCCAAAAGCACTTCTCCTCCCTCATGACTTGCTCACTCCCCTTCTCCCACGGATCACGACAACCTGCGGGTTCAGAAAGAAACCACACTGACTCTGCTTGCTAAATACTGAAATAATAAATTTGGGGAATCATATAAATTACAGCATCTGCTGGCTGGAACCAATGGACCAGAAAAGGAGGGAGGTAACAATCTTCTGACAGACCATAGATTAATGTCATTGTGCTGTTTAAACTTCATCTGTTCTATGTGCTTCAGAGGTTAAAAAAATTGCAAGCTAAGACAGTAATATCATCTCTCTGTGTTAAAGACACCTATTAGTCATGTCCCAGGCAAATAGGGATTTATGACTCAGACATAATTCTTCCAAATATGCCTGCTGTTCATAAAAGGCAGAGATATATGATTCAAAAATAACATTGAGACAGGAATAATTTTACACTTCACTTTGCAACATTGACTTTCCTCCAGAACTTATCGCAGAATCTCCACGTTGTATGAATAGGCACCTGCCAATATATAGATTTATTGCTACAGTCCCCAAATCAGGTGAATTTCTCAGTCAAACAGAAGAGTAGTAAGTTCACACAAAGCAGAAAGATACATGTAGATCTTTGTTTTCTAAACATCCACACTCTGAAGATAAATTAAATTACATGTCACATAGCCTGTATATTGGCCCTATTTAATATCTCCATTTTGTTGCAAGATCTTGCTACTACAATTCAAGTACATTCCCATGACCCTTCCCTAATGAGTCATCCAAATTCCAGATCTGGTTTGGTTCCCCTAGAGGAATATGCATTCTAAGAGCAAAATTGAAAAAGTATATGCTGAGAAAGATAAACACCTGCTGATTATGTCTGCAATGCAACAGAACATGGGTAAATGCTCTTTCACCAAATTGTTGTAATCAGCCCCCCGTTCCTAGCATGTGACCCTTGTGGGAGCCCCAAGCCATTGGAGACCTGGGCAGAGTGCCGGGATGCAAGGTGACATCTTCCACCTGCTACATCAGCCCTGGTCTGCTTCTCATGCCCTAGTGTGCACACACTTTCATTCACAGGAACCCTTACTGTTTTCTTAGTAGGTTTTTAGTATGGAAAATGAACGTCTTTCTAAGTTCACTGTTATCTAATTCAGCTCACACCTTTCGGAGAAGCTTTGCTGCTTTTTAGAACTGGCAAGTTTGCAACTACTTCACCAACCTGAGAGTAAAGACAACCTGCCAATAAAGACCAGTTTGGTTGATTCAGGAAACAATGAACCTCATGGATCTACTCCTTCCCTACAAACATATTTCAATCCCTCTGTTTGGTGAGCACTAACCACTGACACAGGAGACACGGCCACACAACTGTTCCTAAGCTTACCTTCTGGCTGTCTGGTAGACTCAATGGATGTGGATAATTGTTACTTTGAGAAATCAAAGTATTACTATCTGATAAAACAGGAAGAAAGGTTAACTTCATGTCCATAAATCAACAGTTATTATTTAATTCTTCCTCATAAACAGCTGTTCTCCTTAAATAATCTCACTTGTTCCATTAAGAATCAGAAACACCATGTTGGTGATAAACCACAGACCTCAGGAAAAAAACAGATTAAGCAACACAGAAAAATCTCGTGAGGTGACTTAGAGAGTAAATTTTGTTTTTATCTATTTCTTAGTCAAGGTCTTTGGAGTACAACACCTCTTACAGATTAAATAGTTAGGTACACACCTGCACTGGCAAAAAGCCTATTGAGCCTATTGTTTTACGTAAAATGTTCAAGAGTAGATTGATATTTCAGAACTCTAACACCAAAAATAATCCTCACCTGTGACGGTATTTCACAGGTCTATACTGGTTTTGGACCATAACAAAGGCTAAAAATCAGTGAAAGGGCAGAGATCTGCCTTACAATACAAATTAAACACCTAATTGCAGAGCTCACCGCCGCTGTGCAGATCCCCAAGCTGGCACAGGGCCCTCGTTCACACAAACAGCCATCAGGTGCATGGCTAAGTGCAATACACAGCCAAGGCCAAGGCCCGAGGGAGAGAAATGCAACAGCTGCATCAGCTTCCTCCTGTGGCTACTTTCTCCTGCACCTGCCAAAAAGACACGTGCCTGGTGCTAATGGCAACACTCTCCTCTAGACCCTTGCACAATACCTCAAGACTTGGACTGGGTGAAACCAGACATGTTTTAACAAGAGGTAATTGTGAGGTAAAAATCCAGCAAAGCAGGTTGGCTTCTCCTACCATGAGTTGTGGAGGTCAGTAATGGCTACATGGTGTAGGGCACATGTTGACTTTCCATTTGAAGATCCATCTCAGCAGCCCCTCCAGCATTTGGCGGCCCATCCTGGTCAGGCATCACAGTGGGACTAGGCCACAGCTGTCAGCAGTTGCTCAGTGTGAGGAGCTGGGCAAGGCTTGGGCAGGGGCCGTGAGCCCCCTGACCACCCAGTGCCCACCTTATCCCTGCCACCACCTCGCCTGGACATTGCTGAGGGGAAAAGAAGGAGAGGGCACAACCCTCCAGGCCTGCCCTGCTCCTGAGCAAGTTTGTTTTCCCTGTGAGGTATATATCTTGTCTACTGCTCAGCCCAAGTTAGAAACAACATTTTTCACAGCTACAATATGGCAGGTGTTTAATTGTCTGAGAGCCCATTGTGGTGCCTGTATGCCTGCAGTTTATTGACCAGCACCCATGAAGACCTGTCCTCAGCAAGGGATGATGATCCAGTAACCACTGTTGGGCTGGGTGTGCTCTCCTGTTCTTTCATAATGTTGTAGGTACAAACATACTCTGCTTATCATCTGAGCCTCCTGCTTACCACTAGCATGGAGGCTAACATAGTTATGTAAAAAAATCAGGAAACAAATTTTAAATTCCCTCACCTGCGATCAGACAACATAATCTGGCAAGTTGCTTGATTTTTTCTCTTTGCTAATGTGGTCATGTATTTGTTACCACTGCATTTGCAAGTATGTGGTATCAGCTTTCCTCCTAAAATCTCAAGATTATCTTAAAAGTCATTGAAAAAAAGGCTTTGTGGTTCTGCAGATTTCTTTTTTAGAATGAAAAACAAACTTCAGGATATATTTTGGTTATTGTTTCTATTAACAATCTGACAAACTTAAGGGCCCAAAAGTAATTTAAAAACTAGCAATGTATTTTCCCAGAAAATAACCAATCTGAAAACCTGAATATTTCCTAGAATCATGATTCCAGGGGAGAGGGAGTGGTGGGGGTAAGAAAATATATCAAGAGTAACAATACTCCAGAAATAGAACAATATTTTTTGTTATACTTTTTCTCAGTTGTTGTAACTTCATTGTCTAGACTTTCCTTTTACAATCAATAACAGAAGTTACAGAAATCTCCTACTCCTCAGACAAGAGGAATCATGGAGGGATACTTAGTTTTGTACAGCCTTGCTGAAGTGATTCAGAATCCTTAGTCTGTTCTTCAAGGAGTGTGAACTTAAAATGTTGCCTTGCTGCAACAAACTGCAACCACAACACATGTTCTGTCTTTTTGGTGAACTCTAAGCATTTACTTAAAATCTCTTCAGGGTCTTGCTTTAAAAGAAAAAAATGGTAAAGCACTGTGGTGTATATGTGCCACAATCTCTGTAATTAGTAATTGCAGATGATAAAATGAAGTGCTTTCCTCCACACTATTTAGTACCCAGTTACTGAATAGCTTTTAGTTTGTTTGTTTCATTTTCCTGCTTACACTGTGTTTGTTTCTCTTCAAAGACATCCTTTGTATTCACAGGACTATATTCATTACCTATAAATAAAAATCTAACAATCCTTTCATTAAAAAGAAAAAATCAGGTTAGATCAAGGAGTCTAAGTGTTATTTATATGATTTGGCTGTCCTTCTAAATTATTTTTTTTTTTGTGTGTGTGTGTGTTGTTTTTTTACTACTCAGCAACTTTTTGTTTCCACAGAGCAACTAAAACTCTGTGCTGCATTTCCTCCAACCATCTCTACCATGAGACTCCTCTCAGCGTATCTGATGAAGCTACTGTGTAATACTATAAACTGATATGAGTTATTAACCAACCAATTAACCATACAAAGCTATTCAGCCTTCTATCTTCTCTCCAACACTATCTGCTTCCATCTGTTTCTCCTTTCATGCTTTCTGTAGATATTTTTGCTGGTGCAAATTACCATAAAGATATTTTTTTAAAAATTAGTGAGAGAAGAAGGGAGCGAAAGAGGAGAAGGGGTTTCTAGAAAAATCCCATACTAAATATACCAATGGGGAAAAAAAAAGAAAAAAAAAAAGGTAGCTTGCCTGTTGCTTGCCTGAAAGGCTTTTATCCAACTCATTTTCTCACTGCAGGGAGAAAGGGAAATTGGCAAGCACTTCTCTGGCAAGTTGATGCAGCCTGACTGCCCTGACTCTCAGTTCTTCTTCTTCCTTCTCCAGGCTGCCTGCCAGATTGTCTCTGCCTTTTCTGAAGAGGCTGAGAATACAGAAAGCTAGGGGAGGTTTGGGACTGGGAGCTCCCATTCACCTTTACCTGCCTGCTTAAGAAAAAAAATATTACAAAGTTTATTAAAAATAGCAAGAGAAAAAAAAAAAAAAAAGATCTGGCAGAAGAAAAGCTGATTGTTTTTAAGGTGTCTGAGGCTCTTTTATGACTTCAAAGAACAGTATGCACACTTACCTGCAGTATAGAAAGTATCTGCCTTCTGTGCTTTAGATTAAAAATACTCCAAAATGTTGGTAACTTGGGACTGCAGTATGCTTTCATTAAGTAAAAAGGAGGAAATACTTTAAAAGATAAATAAAAAGGCATTTAATAATATTTTGATATGAATTCAAATGATAAATTAAAAAATCAGTATTCTGACTTTACTGATGATCCCATGTTTTTCAGAGAGAAGCAATGAACAAGAACATGTTTGGGTTTGGAGAGAAGAATAAAAAAACAATGCTTTTTTGAACTGTTCCCTAAAGTCATATCTTAATACTTCCTTATACTTTATCTATCATGTCAGGACTATGAGCATGTATTTGTTTGAACTTTTATTTATTCTAGTAATAAAGATAGCTAGCTCACATATGGTTTGTTTCCCCATTTGCCAATACAACTCCCCAAAGTAATTTCTGTGTGGCTGTTCTGAATGACTTAATGAATTAATAAATGTACAAAAAAAAATGGAAACTTTAGGAAATGGTTGCTGGCTGACCGAGCCTTACTTACTCTTTTGATTTCCAGAAAATGTGATATGGAAAGTTCCTAGAGACAGACCAGATTAGTAAACAAGAATACAGAGTCTGACACAACAAGAGTAGAAGGTTAGTAGTGTTTTCAAGTGAGATTGAATGGAAGAAAGTGGTGGTAGCCAGAGGCTTAAATCACTGCTGGGATGAATGAAGAAACCAGTCATTTAGCACTCAGATAAAATCTGTAAAGTAGCAGTTCCACCTGGCTCAATCTTGTGTGCTGTCCCCTGCTTGATTTTTCAGGTCATGAGCAGATTCCATAGACCAGGCTTCTGATATTAGCTATGCAAATGGACAGTGAATTTAAGCATGGGAAAACAGGTGCTATATTATACTTTAAAATACCTTCTTCTTGCAATTGTCTTCAGGCTGTGAAGCTACATTAGTGTGTTTGAATATATGTACACTTTGTATCGAGCTTGCTCCTTAATTTGATGCCTGTTACTATTCAAACTGTAATCCTCTAGAACTGAGTGACAGACTGGCTGGTGAGATAGCTGTTCCTCTGAGCTCCTTATGATTATTCTTATTTGCTTGACCTCGTAGCCCGTATGCAATGATGCTTGGCATGGCACCAGAGTCTTTGTGCATGCTGACTTAAGGGAACCTTTCCAGGTTCAGTGCTGGCTGCACACGATCTGCTCTGTCCAGCTTCCACTTCCCACTGAGGTTATATTGGCACACTGTGGAAACAGCTGTTTCAACCACTATCTGTCACTCCTTTCCCCTGAGGTTTCTATCAAGTCCACTAAAAAAAAAAAAAAGAAAGAAAAAAAAAATAACAACAAAAAAAAACATACAAACAGACAAACAAAAACTTAGCTTACATCTTCCTTGCTTGATTCCTTATGTTTCATCCCCATGTTCTGAAGCTCCCGAGATCCCATGTCCATTTGTCATTCATAAAAACTTTTAAGCAGAATTTATCTTTTGAAGCTCTTCTAAACAGAGTTCAACTACAGCTCACAAATGTCAGTATGTTGCCAGCTGTATAGTAAGTATACCAGGAATCAGATTTAAAAGAACTTTTAAGGTTTTAACCTATGCAACTTTATATGATTTGTGACCCAGCTCCTAGGGAGAACTGAGCTATCCTTCATGCCTGTTACATGCTCTCAGCTTGCAACAGATGTGAAGTAACATGGTTTATCTGAACTCTTTTGCTATGGGCTAAGCTGTACTTTGTATTTTGAATGAATAGCACTGAATAGCATGTACATGTATATACACCCTTAGTTCTGTTCATGCCATATTTTGATTGCAAGTGTGATCATCTAACTGAATAATTATTTGCCACCATGTTAATGAATGGAAAGGGGAGGGAACTTCTGAGTAAGACCTCCCTTGCCCTGAGAAAGAGAAAGCCCTCAGCCAACTCTGCTACATGAGACTCTTGCGGACTGCTGGGCAGCACTGGCTGGCGGTGGTTTGGCTGTCT